ATCGGAAGATCTCCGAAACCCTACAGCCAAAATTTCATCCTCCTCGAATGGGAAGAAAAAATTTCTCCAGAGCTACAGTGCCCGGAAGAAACAATAAATACTGAAATAGCCGTTTAAGGAAAATTTAAAAGCCCTTGTAAGTGCTTTCTTTATATTTTTGCCACGTGTTGACAAGTTGTGAGGAGTTAAAGTGTGTTTGCTGTTTATAGTTCACGGCGAAAACGAAGGGACTGCAGCAGCTCGGTTTCGCACGTGTAGATACATCTGACCGTCCGTTTGGCAACCCAAGCAGGGTTGTTTGCATGATTGTGTCTAACTCTACCCTCACCTAACACGAGTAAATCTTAATATTGTGAAGTGTGATTAGAGGTTCAAAATGTAATTCTATGGAGGAAATTATGTTATGAGTTGTAATTTTAGAATTATGAATGAATTATTTTTTATGATAAAATAATAATTAGAGCTATTGGAAAATTTCATTCATTTGTTCGTTTACACAATTAATAATTATATCATAATTTAAATGAATATATATAGTTATGTGATATATATTTAACTCATTTATAAATAAAATTTAGTCATGAACTTCAAACCGTATTATGGAACGTGTCTGATTATTGTTTGGTGTCCTTTAAAATATTTAATGCATTATGAGTTGAAAAATAAAATTAAAACGAAAAGTCAAATGGAGTCGGTTTGATTGATTGAGAAAGAAGTTGCAGGAAGCAAAAATAAATTTCATAAAATTCAGGCTCCAAGCAGAGAGATTCAGTGGGGCGGTCAAAAAAGCTCGTTGTTCGACTTTTTAATTAACTCGTGTTTGACTCGTTCGTTAAGTAAATGAGCTGAACACGAACACAATTTTTAAGCTCAAATTAGAAACGAGCCGACAGGAGCAACTCTTTGTTCGCTTGTGCTCGTCTATTTTTAGCTCAAAAAAAAGTTATATAATTATTTATTTAATAATTTTATATATATATCATAACAGTTCTTGTGGCAATGTAGGTCTGCGCATACTTTTGCATAGATTTGATCGTGATTTGAATCCAACCCTTAACATCTAATTTTTTGAATTAATTTTAACGTGTCAATTTCGAGCCAAACACGAACAATAATATTTAAATTGAGTCAAATACAAACACATTGTTCACTAGCCAATTTCAAACACGAACCGATTTTGAACATTAGCAATTTCAAACTAGACAAACACAAGCCAAGCGTAAGCTCGCTCAAGCTCGGCTCGTTTATAGCCCTAGCTATGAGAATCAATGTCATGAATTTCTGCATACTATTTTAGGATGAGTTAAAGGTTTATGATCAAATAACTCTAATAATGTGATATGATCATCAATGAATAGTTAGTGAGTTCGTTTTATTAATTAATTCAAATGTTTATCCTGTGATGATAGTGTGTTTTCGTTCGTTTTTCTCTTTTTTATTTTAAAATGAGTCGTGAGTTTGTCGAGAATAAATCTCCCTTCCGAACCAGATATGTGATTCGAAGAGGAGAGAAATTGAATAAAAAGGGACATACGATAAAATGACAAACAAGAGAAAACACAAAATGTGGAAATCCTACGTGCGGTAAACCTCGCAAGGATAGGTTAAGAATGTTCGCCCAAACAAGATCGGGCGAAAGCACCTTAAATCAATATCCACGAAGAATGTTTACGTAAACTACCCAAAACCAGAGAGTAAAATGTGTGTGTTTGTTATGGGGTCAACAACACTCCCAAGGAGACGTATCTCACTTGGTTTATTATATCTTGGGGGGTACCCAAGAATACTCTCGATAAAAGGAGTTTCGTTTGGATTGTCATGAACCTGGGGCAATAGGTACTCAAATTATTCCGTGTGGGAACAGTTCCGATGCTTCAAAGTTCGCGCTAAGCCAACGGGCATAAAGTGAGTCTCTCACATCCCAAATGGGTAGCGGCTCATCGGCATACATTAACTTGTGTTCAACTTATTCTTCAAGTAAATGAGCTGAACACGCACAAATTTTTTAAGCTCAAATTATAAACGAGCCGAACAATAACGAGACGAACAATAACAACTCTTTGTTCGCTCGTGTTCGGCTCGTTTTAGCTCGAAAAAAAAGTTAAATAATTATTTATTTAATATTTTATATATATATATATATATTATAACAGTTCTTGTGGTAATGTAGTTTTGCGCCTACTTTTGCATAGATTTGGTCGTGATTTGAATCCAACCTTCAACATCTATTTTTTCCAATTAATTTTAATGTGAATTTTGGCATACTAATTTAGGATGAGTTAAAGCTTTATGATCAAACAACTCTATTAATCTGATATGATCCGCAATGAATAGTTAGTGAGTTCATTTTATTAACTCAATACTCAGATCACCTCCCGAAGACTTCTCCAACTTATCCACACGTGTGTTTATCAATGTTTTTGTTTGGTGCGCACGTGTTTTAAATCGTTCAATCATATAGCATTCTCCTCGTCATTTTCTTTCTATATTTTTTGTTTGGCTTGCACTTTATAGGTTTTACAACTATGGTCCTATCATTATCACAGATAGATTTAGGGTTTAGAAATTAGGGTTTAATAAATGCAATATAAATTTTAAATTGATTAATCATGCATTATATTTATTTAAACATCAACCCAACAATTTTCTAGATTCAATTTCATCTTGAAATGAATCTAAACAATCAAATATTCAACTTGAAAATATGTTGATCAAATATTGTAATAGAATTTTTTCTCATGTGTTGAGAATTTTCGGGCAAAGGAATTTTTGGGCAAAGAAACACAAGAATCGGCATAAATCTAGAAGAAAACATAGAAATTTAATGAGGTTCAGCAAAGATGTCTACTTTCTCGGGAGCAGAGCGGCGGCTTTCTTTCAATTCCAGAAAAGATTACAGAATATACCCTTAGGGTTACAGTATATATATATATATATATACATACATACATATATATAGCTCTGTCGTACAATATGTACAAAATTTCCCCTGCACCCCAACCCACATAACGTAATTCCTCCGATTGGATAGATGCTTCCGCTCCACTGGCTCGCTCTGTTCCGCTCTAGCATCTGTCATTTATCTGGTACATGTGTCATATCTAACATCATGCATTGTGTTCATGTAAACATGAATCTAACAATTTTGTGATTCAACCTTATATCAAAATGAGGGTCTGTTTGGGGCAGCTACAGCTAATAAAAAAATAGTTGTAAAACTACGGAATAATAACTTGATGTTAAAAAAATTGCGGCAGTTATTACAAATTTTTTTTTTCTTAAAGGTCAGGTCATAACTAGAGAGCCGTCTTCGCACCTAGCCGGGAATAATGGGAGAACACATATTTCAACGGCATCTTTTTTAAAATTTGGCAAAACACAGTTTGCCCAAACAGATCAAAAATAAGAGATGCGGTGCTGTCACCGCACCAATACCGCAGCGCCGCCCCAAACTAACCACTTAAAGATCCAGCTTAATAAATTTTGATAAAAAATTATAATCTAATTTTTTTTCTCAAAATAAAAATGTAAAAAATTTCTTATGATCTCGTGACATTAATGGAGTGGGTACGAGATAGATCATGACGCAAGTTTGATAGATTTGTTACAGTTGTTGCACTTCCCCTTCCCATGTTGCTCTATATATGCGTCATAGAACCATGCCATCACATATTAAACCATGATCAATATTTATAGCAAAATTAATCAACCAAAATTATATTTTCATCCACAAATAACAATTTTTTATTGTTTACAACCAAAATTTTTAGTGCAATAATTGTATTTTAGTTGGTCTTGGTGGAGAAAATGAGTCAAGATCTGGCCAAATTTTTAATTATATAATTAATTGTTAATTTTGCTTTTGGTAGGGCTGTCAAAAAGGCTCATTGTTCGTGAACATCTCGTGTTCGGCTTGTTAAGAAGCTCGTGTTCAACTCGTTCGCTAAGTTAATGAGCCAAACACCAACAAAGATTTATTCATTCATATTCGGCTCATTTTGGCTCGAAAAACTACTCATCAGTCATACACACACACACACAGATAATACGTATATTGATGAGAATATTTTTAAAAAATTTAATTGACTACAATTCTATAAAGATTTATAATCAATTAAAAGTATTAATTAAGAAAATAAAAATAAAAATTGTTAAATTAGATTCAAATGATGTTTTAATATAAACAATAATTTTAAAATATTGCCTCAACCCTTAACATCTTATGGCTATGTGATTAGGGTTGTCAAAACGATTCGTGGTGACGGGTGTGTGTCCGGCCCGCAAGCCAAACGAGCCGAACAGAAACACACTTTTTGAGCTTGAAATATATACAAGCCGAACAGGAGCTGAGCCTCGTTTCGCTCATATTTGGCTAGTTTACACCTCTAGCTTTCGGGTCTTAACACTATTTACTAAACGGAGGAGAAGCTAAAGGGGCAAGTAATCAGACTCTCCTGTCTTCCTCAGTCATAACTACTTTCGCACAAGTTAAACTGACCGGTTTAAGCCGCCATTTTAAATGGCTGTTCATAAACCGCCAGACAAGCGTTGTTTTTGCTTCCCAGGCGGTTATTAACCGCTGCTACAGGTTTCTTGAATACGGTGATTTATAAATCTAAGATGCAGTCAAATGGGAGTCTCGGATCTCTGGAGCCCGCCATCCCGACGTTGTGTTATCAGCTGCCTCCAATTGCGACTGTATCGCGAGGGTCTCCATGATGAAGGCGATTTAAACCGCTGTTAAAGGTGACTTTTAACAGCGGTTTCAAAACCGTTGCAAAATTATGCTGCTAAAACTTGAGTGCTTCCACCCTGCTACTCCTTCTTTTGAAGGGATTGCAGCATACAAAGACCTCCCATAACTCCTATAAAGCTCCCACAGCTTTGTCGGGCTTCCCGCGGCAAGAGTTGACAACATAAAAGACAAAGCGGGAATGATCATCGAATCTTTGCCTCCGGACCACAATCGTCGATGCCTGACCATCAAGGTCCAGTCGCGGCCTCCATCAAAACATCAAAACATTAACATTGAGAAACTGTCATCATCAGATCGTTTTAATATGGATGCCGTTGTTATCGGTCCACCGTTGTCGCAAACCATTTGACCACCGTTTTTTGGTTGTCATCACCGTCAGACCATAATTCTCCGACTTCCACAACCCTCGCCTCCAAACCACCGTTATCGCCACCATTGGACCCATGATGCCCGACCATCATCATCGTCGCAGCCAAACCATCGCCGCTAATACCATTGCTAGCATCAGACTTCCTGACACCCGACCTCTACCATTGGTCTTCTTTCATAACAATCCGGCCGTTGTCACTTTCCCAACATGTTCCACCGCACTGCTAAATGAAAGTCAGGTAGATAACAACCACTTATATAATATTGCTTCGGAATAGTCAAGGATTGGTAAAGTCATGTTATCTACACGAACATATTACAACTGTTTCGGTTGGGCTAACCCTCGTGATTTGAATATAATATATGTAAATATAAATATTTAAATATATAAACACATTAGAATTATAGGATTTTTATCGAAGCGCTAGAACATTTGATCGATTACCAACGATGATTGATCAAAATTTCATAGATTAAATTAACAGAATGTATTATCCCCACATTGATGCGGACATCGTTCCAATCCAACCAAAAATTGGCGTTTGATCTCATCTGGCTATTTCTAAAATAAAGTTATTGTTCTATCAATACGTTTTGATCTTCAAATTGACTAATCTAAGTCAACTAAAGCACCAATCCAAATTATCAACAGAAAGATTTACATACATACCTCTTAACTCTATTTACATACATACCTCTTAATTCTATGTATTTACATACTAACGCCTGAACTTCTACTTCTACATCTACGTCACTTCAGTTAGGCAAAAAAATATGAATTAAACTTTTAAAAACGAAAAAATATACTATTTTTATGTGATATAAAAAATTTTAATGATGTAAATGTAATAAAACAAAGTTAGATCTGCAAATATATAGAAATTAGGTGGTGGTCCTAAAAATCCCTTCTTTATTAAAAAAATGCTCTAGGTTAAGATAGGAGCTCTGGTCATCTAAGATACGAGCCCTGGTCATCGTTCATGCACCTATAGTTCTAGTATCACACCCTACACTCGGGAAATCTAACCCCAGACCAGAGGGGACTTACAACTGACAAGCAGCTGCCCGACCAACTGATATGAATGCGCGGCGTGTATATATAAATATATATAGAGAGAGAGATATGAATTGAGTTGTATGTATCCAAATGCCCCATACAATTTTTATAATCACAATAAATTTGAAATTTGATAGGCACAAAACATCAAAATAAAAATAAGGTTTTCTAAACAAAAATAAAATAAAACCTTCAATCCCCTTTAAATTTACATTCAATAAGGCGAATCACAGTATAGAACAAATAAAATAAAAAAAAATTTTGAACTTTCACCTCTCCAGGTCCACGTTCCTCATCACCTTCCCCAAGCTCAAAAAGCTGTTCTTCCCTTCCTCCAATTCCATTTCCTCAATCTCCATTTCCCCGCTCAGCTTACTAATCGGGCTGTACTCCATCTCCTCCGCATACCTCCTACTCAGTAACAGATAGAAAAGCAGAGAAGAACCTACCACGGCCGCCAAGCACCAGCTGAACTCAATGTTCGCCAGCGATTTAGCTCTGTGCAGAGCTTCCTCGCTCCGGCAACGAACCACAAAATGGCCGTCCTCCGCATTCATGAAACATCCCTTAGGAATCAACGCCGGCGTCCACAGAGCGTATCCCATTACAATGAACCAGATCCCTTGAAATCCAATACTCACGGATCGGACGAACCCGACGGTAAAGCTTTTAGGGTTTCCGATTCCCATTAGGGTTGTGATGAGGGAGATGGCGATGATGAGCTGGAGAAGCCAATGGTATTGTCCCTCGATCCCCATGTGATCGGCGGAGTGGAGATGGAAGAGGAAGAGCTGCTGCGCGAAGGCAGCAGAGGCGGCGATGATCGTGAGCGGTTCGGCGGCGGATGGGGCCGGTTGGATCCGATCGAAGGTGAAGGCGAATGCGGCGTAGAAGAGGAAGGTGAGGGAGATGGAGGCGTGCTCGAAGTTGTGGAGATGGTTAGAAGGGATTGTGAAGTCTGGATCGAGGGGTTGATGTCGCGCGGGGCCGATGAAGAGTTCCATGGCAATGGAAGCGCAGGAGCCTGCGGCGATGAGGAGGAGCTCGAGGTGGCGGAGTCTTGGAGCAGGGTACCAGGGATGGAACCGGTGGTTTTTAGGGTTGAGGGAATACAGTTTGACGTTGTTGTAGAGGTGCCAGAGACCGATTAGGAGGAATCCGAAGCCAGGGGCGACGTGTCCTACGAGAGTACCCATGGATGGCTCTGGTTGATTTGTCTGGGGGTTGAAGAAGCTGGGGTTGAGCGAGCAGAGTAGGGATGGCGGGGATATGATGGGGTTTGGGGAGGTAGAAGGTGACTGCAAGGGCTTTAAGAAGAGGAGGTAAGCTTAAGAAATTCTGGAGAATTCTGTGGAAGAATGGGGGTTTTGAATTCTGAATGATGACTTCCTATTATTTTAATATTTGGGAAATTCGCTTTTAGGTTTCTGTCGACGGTAAAAATTAAAGAAATATATTTATTATTTTTTTAATTATTTCTAGAAATTATATTTAAAAATTTAGCATCCACTTTTGTGCATAAATAAAAATAATAATAATAATAAAGCAGCAAAATTATCGGCTATTATTTATTATTTATATAAAATCTTTTTACTCGTAAAATTTATAGACGTGTCAAAATAGTTCATAATTCTTCAATCTTCAGGTTAGTAGTGTTAAAATAGTCTCCAACTATTTACGTTTCATAGTTTCAGTCGCACGGTTTGTAACATCGTCAAAATTCTCATCTGAATCTTTAAATTGGAGTTGAAATATACTTCATAGAATACAGAGCTCAATTTTAAAAGGGTCAGACTACTTTAACACCTATTAAAACTCTTAAATTAAAACAACGAAATGTAAATAGTCTGAGACTAATTTGATACTTCAATATGTAGAGTCTAAAAAAATTATGTACATATTACAATTTTTTTAGTTTTAGAATGTTGATGTTTATTGAGTTATATTATTTTTTTCATATACAATAAAATCGTCTAATTTTAATAAAATTATATGTAGATAAATTTTTTATTGAATTTTAATAATTGGATGAAAGTAAAAAAAAAAGCCAAAAAATGATTATTAGTTTTATAATTTGCCAAAACTTGTTGATAATTATTTTATCTGAATTATATTTATTCAAAGAAATATGTAAATGATATTTATCCAAATAAAAATCACTTTTATTGAATTTATTTTTATTATTTCTTTTGCCGCAAGCAAGATTTTAACCAATGGTCAAAGTTTGACCAACAGCAGACTTGTAAAACTCAAAATCTGCAGCTTCTGGAGGTGGACAAATTAAACTGGTATGGTCGAACTAGTTATTTTTTATTTTCTTAAAGATTTACATGCATACCACTCTATTTTTAGGTATTTGCATGTCTAACACTTAAACTTCAATTATTATGTATTTACCACCTTATATGATATATGAAAATGTGTGACTTTCATTTTAAAAGTTAAAAATAGTTCCCCTTTTATGTGATAAGAAATATTCGGGCGGTATAGATATAAAGAGAAAAAATTTGGAATTAGATATGTAAATACATATGAATTAGATATTATATGTGTAATATTCGAAAGCCTTAATATTCATTTTGTTGCGAGAGTTAAGTAGTGAGAGTTAAGATATACCAGTTGATGTGGTATATATATAAATCAAACAGGGGAACGATTGACGAAGCGAAAAATAGAACGAAAAAATTTACGTGGTTCGGAATATTGCCTACGACCACGGAGTTGGAAAGGATTTTACTATTTGAGAAATTTACATCAGTCGACCGTCTAGAGTTATAAGAGGAATCACTCGCTTCGTTATTTTCTCTTCTTCTCTCTCTGTTCTTCTCTCTACACCGAGATACACCGAAGAAACTCTACACCGAGATACACCGAAGAAGACAAAGTTACAAAAGAAATAAACATAATTTCTCTTCTGCCATGAGCCGCCCAAAAGAAGTCAAGGGAGAACAATATTCTTCTTCTTCTTTCTTCTTCTTTTCACCTGAATGAACTACACATTGCACTTCTCTTCCTCTATTTCGAGGAAGCCAGAAGAAGAACACAAAAAACGGAACTTCCCTAACTGAAGAAGAGCCGTCCGAAGTTTTTTATCGCGAGAAGGAAGCGGGAGACATCATTTCATGAAAAAACAGAGTGATTGGACGAAGTGAAGCTTCGCTTCGCACACGCGGGAGCGGTTTCGCAATCAAGCTAGAGCGGGAAGGCGACATTTGCATTACGCTCTATGATTTTCCACCATTTGTTAGTGGAACAATAGGAATGGGTGCCCCGGACCCACTCTCCTCTTCACTTTCATCATCAACAAAACTATGAACTGTTAGCAATAGTGCATCTTGTACTTCTTTAGATACCACATTTGCGCTATCATTTTCCATCTTGTTGGGATTTCTGCAGTTCTACTTTATGCGACCAGCCTTGTCACAATTCCAGCAGATTGCTTGCTGACCAGACTTTGATTTTAATCTCTCTATTTGAGTTCTCGTTCTGTCATCTCCTTCTAAAATCAACATTCAGTGTCAAACTTGTACCTGAGATCTCGTCATAATCTTTCTTGCACACCTCCTCAACAAAAATCAAATCATGAATACCATCACATTTCAGTTTAGATTTACCTGCAGAACTGATAATGTCATCCTCATGGCTTCTCAACTGTTTGACAATGATGCCAACAATATCAGCACATGTATCTCATCATCAAAATCAATTTCAATAGACAATAATTAATTTGTGATAATATTGAAGGCATTAAGTTTTTGAGCAACAAAAACACCTTCCGATATTTTCAAGTTGAATAACTTCTTCATCAAGTACACATTGTTATTTGCTGATGATTTTTCATATATACCTGATAAGGCTGCCATGAGATTTTTCTCCTTGACGACGTTGTGTGCAACATATCTCGACAGGGTCAATTGAATAACCCCTAGAACTTGTCGATCCAACAGATTCCATTCAGTCTCATCCATCCTTTCAAGTCTTTTCCCCAATAACAAAAGATGAAGTTTCTTCTCATAGAGGTAATTGTCTATCTACATCCTCCAATAACCAAAATTTGTGTCATCAAAATTCTCGATCCCAGAAACCTTCACTTCATCGACAGACATCATTCTTCTTCAGATCTGAACAAAGCTTTGATATCAGTTGTTGTTGGAATAAGATATATACCAGTTGATGTGGTATATATATAAATCAAACAGGAGAACGATCGATAAAGCAAAAAATATAACGAGAAAAAGTAACACAAGAAAATAGTAACACAGTGGAACACATAATTTACGTGGTTCAACAAATTGCTTAAGTCCACGGAGTTGCAGAGGATTTTACTACTTGAGAAATTTACACCAGTCGATCGTCTAGACTTACAAGAGAAATCTCTCACTTCGTTGCTCTCTCTTTTTCTCTGTCTGTTCTTCTCTTTCTACACCGAGATACACCAAAGAAGACAAACTTACAAAAGAAATAAACTCAAATTCTTTTTTGTCACAAGCCACCTAAAAGAAGTAAAGAGAGAAAAATATTCTTCTTCTTTTTTCTTCTTCCTTTCTCTGTAAGGAACTACACCTTGCACTTCTCTTCCTTTATTCCAAGGAAGCCAGAAGTAAAACACAAAAAACGTGACTTCCCTAACTTAAGGAGAGTCGTCTGAAGTCTTTTATCGCGAGAAGGAAGCGGGAGATGTCATTTCATGAAACAATAGGGCGATCGGATGAAGCGAAGCTTCGCTTTGCGCGAGCGGGAGCGGGAAATTAAATCGGGCTCCATACTTAACACATTTACCATAAACAATTTCATCGGTTTTAAATGAAATAAAGTAAAGTGACAAAATAATCCCCATATTTTAACTTGGGCCATTTTAGTTCAAATTTATAGAAGTCCTGAAATAATTCTCTCATTCCTTAAATTGATGTTAAAATAGTCTTATGAACGACTATTATAGCTAAAATTTTGAATATTTGAGATCGTTTTAACACTTCTATAAACGCTGTGACTAAAACGACACAATATAAATAGTCAGGGACGCCCGACTATTTTGAAACTTTACTCGAACAAAATAATTACATGCTTTCTTTAATGAAAAATAATAAAACGAACTCAAACAAGCCAATAAAACTAGACCGATCAAGTCAAGCCAACTCAGAAAAACTGACTAAACTAAGTTGAAAGAGCCATGCCAACTCAGATAAGCTGATCGAGAAGACCAGAAGATGAATAGTCATCATAAGATTTACAACAAAAAAATCCCACTGTAGGCCCATGCAGATAGGGGCAAAAAAGAAATATTATTATTGTGATGAAATCTCTATAAATAAGTAATAATTTATCGAAAAAGTGATGTGATTCATAAATATTTTTTTAAATTTAACAATATTACGTAATTATTTCACATCATATAAAAAATACAGTGAAATACATCTTCTCATATATTCCTAATTTGGTTTGTATGTAAAAAATTAAAATTTTATTGGTAGATTTGTAAATTCTTAAAATATGGCGGCTTATGGATAAAAGGCCGCTGGAAGGTTTCTAGAAGGCTAGAATGGCGGCTGCTAAGCTTCTTTTGACGGCTCCCAGCCACCTGGATTTTCCTTCGCCCAATGTTTTGGACGAGACTTTTATTTTCTTATTTATTTTTTGGATGAGAAGCCCAGCCGCCAAATTTCAAAATAAAACGCACGATTTTTTCCTTCGATAATTTCTTTGGCGGATTTTAAGGATAAGGGTCAATTTTGTAATTTCAAAGCTTTCGAAGGTGAGGAACAAGAATTAAATATTTCAATATTATTTTAAATTGACGTCATTATTTGGAATAATTTCTTCTATTTAAATTATACTTGAAAAATCCAAAAAAAAAAAAAAAAAAACAAAGTCTAATCTATTTGAAAAGATTTCACCATTGATGTGTATTTTAAAAGACATTATTTGTTCTGGAACAAAATAAATGCATATTACAAAAGTGATCAACTGACTTGATTTTTAGTAGTGGTTGAAAAAATTAGAAGAGTGGCGGCAATTGAATTGCTATGATAGAAGACCAACGATGAGGGTTGTGTGACTGTGATATAGATTCATAATCACTGGTGATAACGGTTGTGAGGCAGCATGGATCCATCAACATTAATAGTGGTAGTCAAAAGATGATGATACGATGATGACAATTTCATAATGTCTATGTACCGGTAGGGCAGTTGTGGATAAGCAATGATGATCTAATATTTGCAACGTTATTAGTTTGGTGATGGTGTTCGGTGTTGATTATGACATGATGGAAATGATCCAGCTCGACGGTGATGGTGATCGGGATAAGATCATCCGACGACAACGATGTTGTAATGCAACAGTGATTGTTGTCGAGCTTTGATGATATGACAAAATGAGAGTTGAGAATTTTTATCTGACGACTATGAGATGATGACTCGACAACAACGGTTGTCAAGCGTGTTGATTATTTAATGTGGCGGGGGTCAAGAGATAAATAAACGACAATAGTGGTGTAACGCAATAGTGCTTGTTATCAAGCGTAAATGATTTCAACATAGTGACAGTCGAAAGATGATGATCCCGTGATAATGATAAGACAATTGAGAGATGACAATCCAACGACTACGATTGTGCATCACAATTGTGATTGATATCGAGCATCATTGATTCAACATATTAACTACTAGAAAATGATGATCCGGTGAAGATGGTAAGCTGGTGGTCTGAAGATTATGTTCTAACGACAACAACGATGGACCACAATATCGACGGTTGTCGGGTGTTCGTGATTCAACATATCGACGACCAAAAGATGATAATGTAACGCAACTGTGGCGCATGGTCGTGAGACGACTTGATATAGTGACATGATATAATTTAATCACTCGAAAATAATAATAATAAACAAATATTTATATTGAACTATAGATAAAAGTTTAATAATAAATATTATGTGTTGGCAAATTTACAAATAATAATAATAATAAATCTGGTTTTACTTCTACATAAACACAGCTTTATTTCATAATAAAAACATGATTTATTTATTTTTGAAAATTTAGCAAAATATGATTTAAAATATATATTTTTATCTATATACTAATTTCTTAAAAGGGCAATGAATTGAAAACAAAAAATGGCTAGGTTTACCGGCGGCCACGAGA